TTTTCGTCTTTTTTTCCTATTCAGTCCAGGCCAGCCTGCATTTTGCTTGCTGTGTTGCCCAGGCTGGCCTCAAACTTGAGATCCTTCTGCCTAATCCTTACAATTGCTGGGATTACAGGCATGCACTATCATTCTCCGCTCTCATTTTCTCATCGATTTAAAAGTAGCTCAGTGGTAGTGTGGTATACTTTTTAAAAAAAGGTATAAGTAATCTAAATAAAGAGACAAATTCACTACCCTCTTGAGAATCATTAGGTTTAGTCCTTGTCTGTATTGAGTCCTCTGTATCCTTATGTCTGCTAAAGACAACCTAGAATTGAGGTGACAGGTCTTTCCATGAAGAGAAATACTAATGGATAATCTTTACTAAATTTACCTCAGTACTTCAGAGAGCCCTACTTAGGTGTTCTTAATATTAACTCTGCTAAACTTATTTAGCTGGGGCCCATGGTGGTAGATCTTCTACTAATCTTCACTCATAGCAGTATAATCATGGAAGCCTGTCATATGGCCGGTGTATTTTTACGTTTTAAACTGGTCTCTTCTTGACTGAAACCCCTAGAGGGTAAGTAAGAACTGTAGATGTCTTGTTCATCATACTCAGTTCTTTTGTATATATATCCAGAAGTGGAATTACTGAATCATACAGTAGATGTATGATTTCTTTTAAAGAAATTATCATATGGCTTTCTGTAGAAGCTGTCCCATTTTACATTCCACCAGCAATGCACCCAGGTTCCAATTGTTCCATATCTTTGCCAATACTTATTTTCTGTTTTGTTGTTCTGTTTATGTTTATAATAGGCATTGTAGGTATGAATATTATGAGAACATTAAGTCAAATTAATTACAAAACATTTAATATAGTATGATCTTAATGCTGAATTATAACTAATAGCATAATTAAGACTATGTTTTAAAACTTGTTGAGCTACCTGTCAGAGTTTGTTTAATACATAGATTAATCAGACCCAGATATTTCTGTGTCACTCTCAGGCCCTACACAACCTTTGCTTGATTTTTGAAGCCAGCAAAAGCATAAGAAAACCTATGGTATTAACAAATATGTCAGTTGTATTATAAATAGCATACTTTCCCCAAAATGTTCTTAAATGTGTGCTATAGGAAAGAATTCCAGGAGGGATCCTAATAGAATGAAACAAGGGATAATAAGAAAGCTCAAACTTAAGACTTCTTCATATCATTTTTGAATCTTGCCTAAGAATAATATTTAATGCAGTTTTGTTCTTTAAAAAGTTGTTGCTGGTAGAATACATGCTCTCCTATCACAGATAAATAGAAAGATGAAATCTTACCTTATTTCCACCAGTGGAATTAGGTAAATATTAGGTGAGTTATTAAATTACTAATTGTTATTGATAGGAATTAAAGATTACTTTCTCTATAATGTTGAAAGGCATTTAAGCTTTCAGTTCATTGAGTAAGGTTTTGAGTCAAGGTGTAATCTAAGTATAAAAAGGAAGTATTTACTGTAGTCCCAGCTACTCATGATTCTGAGGCAGGAGGATCACTGGTCAGGGGTTAAAGGCAAGCTTGGGAAATCTAGTGAGACTCTGTCTCAAAAAATGGCAAATTTAACTAGCAGTTCAACAAATTAAGATGTTAGATTATTGCTTTTTTATTGTTAGATTTTGCTTTTTATTGTTTTTTGTGAGCTCATGATTTAGAACATAAATATGGGAGCTGGGGCTGTGGTTCAGTGATAAAGCTCTTGACTAGCTTGCACAAGGCCTGAGTGCAATCCCCAGTTATCTCACACACACACACAAAAGAGTGAGAGAGAGAATATAAATACAAAATTGACATTTGTGCCCTGAGGTGCAGCTTTCTTTCCTTCTGGATTGGTTGGATTTGGCTTTTGGGCTGCGTTGGCAGGACAATCAGGCAGAGAGGAGCGTGGGGTAGGAATATTTATTCTTCTGATCTTTCCCTGAGGCATAACTGTGGGCTGATTGTATCCTTTAACCAAAGGTCACAATAACTGTCCATGGGCCCTCTTCACACCAGATGAGACATTCCAGTTTTCTCTGTGGATTCCAGTTTCCTCCTTATGCTTGGTCAGACCTTGGGATAGTGATACACCTTGCATTTATTAGTCTGGAGGTACAGTCCTAGCACCTTCTAAAGTAGTCCCTTTATTTAAGCTATTCAGATTTTTCCCAATTTGAATTTGTTTCCTGCTAGGATCCTGACTGAAAAAACTGCTGATTTTTAATCACTATCCCAGTTAGCATGGCACATAAACCCTAATAATATTTATGGTAATTTGTTATGGTCAATAACTAAGTGCAGAACTACCTTTTATTTCCTTTCATATTGTGTTACCTGGTGTGGTTCACTCCCCGCCACCCACACACACAGGTCCACACAGGTCAGACAGGTAATGTGCCTATGTTGTGACAAGTTTTGAGGGAAGAGGCACATGTCACACAATAGAGTGAGCACTCTATGTTCATAAGTCATCACACTTATGAACCAAAAAAGGATCCTGGTGTGTTAAAGGAAAAACATTTTTGGACTGTTATTAATAATAGTTCTTTAAAATACAGACTCCACAATGTTGTTTTGCTGTGAGTGTCCCCTCTTTTTCCTAAAAGAGATTAGTGGTTTGATTCTCTAAATAAAAAGCAGGTTATTATTGATGTCCTTGATACCATCTCATTGCTAATCAATGCCTGTTTTCGGGGGAGTACATTCAAGTTAAATAATTTGGCTGACCCATAGTGATTCTGAGAAGGCTCTAGGTAGTACTTTAGCTGTATAGGATCTGTCTTTCTATATTTTGTCTCCTTGTAATTGATAAGGATAATTGGGAGTTAACAAGTTAAATAGTTATCTAGATGATTCAGGCAACCAAGTAACAGTGTTAGAAACTGCCAATATTAACAGAAGTTAGATCTCAGTTGATTAAAGTTTCGGTTGATAAGTGGTAAACATGGTTTTTCTTGAAATGACTTCATTTATTTTTTCCAATTTTTAGTACCAAAATATTTTTCCAACTTACAGTTTTTGGTCTTCCATAGCAACTAGGAGGAATTTGGAAAGAGAATAAAGATTAAGCTTTAAAAGAAACTTTAACTAAACACATTTGTAATGATAGCAAAAGAATTTGGAAAGCATTCTAGCATATTTCAGTGTTTTTATACTCCTTTTCTCAAAATTTTTGCGATTACTTTTGTTGAAATTTTAACTCCTAAATTACTCCCAAGTATGGTTCAGGGATCAGTGTTGATATCATCTAGGAGTAAAAATCTCAGGCCACGGGCTAAACTATTAAATCACAACCTACATTTTAGCATTAAGATTCCTCAGATGGTAAGTAAGCACTCTCACCATTTAATGCATATTGTCAGATTAAAACAAAGTTGTGGGCAGGGCATGGTAGTGTTCACCTATAATCCCAGCTACTAGGAAGACAGAAGTAGGAAGATCTTTTTCCCAGGACAGACTCAGGGGAAAAAACCTCAAGACCCTTTCTGAAAAACAAACTAAAAGCCAAAAGACTAGGGGTGTGGCTCAAGTGGTAAAGCAGCTTGCCTACCTAGCAAGCATAAGGCCCTGAGTTTAATCCCCAGTACTGCTGCCCACCCCAAAAAAAAAAAAGCTGTTGAGTGTTAAAGCTGAATACTGGCAATATAGATTAGTGGTAATAGTGGTAAAGCTCTTACAGAGCATGCATGGGGCCCTGGGTTCAATTCACAGCACCAACCAAAAAAAAGTTAATTTACTGATTACATAGTCACAAAAGAAAGCATAGGCTTGTCAATGTATAGAGAAGCCACAATTTTTTTTCTTTTTGCGATTAATCACATTGAACCAAGTTTTCTCATAATGCATACTCATCTGAGATTTTGTTTTGCTTTGTTTACATTGCTTCTTGAGTATAGAGTTTCATTTGTTTAATGTAAACTCAGATATAGTTCTGGTAAAGATATAGTACTGATAACACAAACTTGGGCACATTGCTTCATCAAGCATCATACTTTGGGATATTGGAGACAAAAGTGTATTCATGAAGTCTATAATCTAATAATGTATTACTTGTTTTGCTGTCTAGAAAATGGAAATTACTTTTATTTATTACTTTTATTTTTATTAGTTACAGAAGCTTCCATCTCCACTCATAGTTTCAGATCCTTTAGTGTTAAATTTTGCCATAGAGAGCTATTTGTGTGCAACATACTGACTGATTAATCAGTACTGGGGTTTGAACTCAAGGCCTTGCGCTTAAGCTCTCTACCACTTGAGCCATGTCACCAGTCCTGACTTGAAACATTTTTTAAAGTAAAGCCAGGTGTCATTGGAGGTGTGTGCCCTTAAAGATCAGCACTTGGGAGGCTGAGGCTGGAGGATCTTAAGTTCAAGGCCAGCCTGTGCTACACAGTGATTTTTGAGGCTGGACTAGGCTACATATTGAGACTCTTTAAAAAATAGTAATAAAAAAAATAAGGAAGAATAATTAACAGAGATATTAAGGATTATAGGACAGCCTAATGTAGTTTATGTATTTCATATTTTCCTCAGGATGTATACTTTCTATCAAAAATCATGTTTCATTTTATAATTTTTTTGGGGGTGCACTGGAGTTTGAACTCAGAGCCCTACGCTTGCTAGGCAGGCACTCTTATAGCTTGAGCCATTCTGCCACTCTTTTTTGTGATGAAATTTTTCTTTCTTTTTTTTTTTTTTTTTTTTTTTTGAGATAGGGTCTCCAGAACTATTTGCCCAGGGCTGACTTGAAACCACAATCCTCCTGATCTCTGCCTTCTGAGTAGCTAGGATTACAGGCATGAGCCACCAGTGTCTAGCTTATTTTTAACTCAAAGTATAGTTAGGGTTATAATTTGCCAAATAGTAACTAAGTTGTTAATTGTTTTATGAGGAAAATATAGCCAGTTTTGGCCCTTCTGTCTTGGGGATGGAATACATTATTAATTGGGTATCATGTTGAGTATTTTTGTTCCTTGTCATTCTTTCAGATTCATCAGGATTCATTTTTGATTTGCAGTCAAATACTGTACTGGCCCAGGGAGGAACTTTTGAAAACATGAAAGAGAAGGTAAGACTAATTGACCACAATAATAACTTGAATGTCATAAGACAATTTAGGTACTAATACAGTCAGTGGCTATCACAAATGCATTGTGAAAGTGAAATTTTAGTAACAAAACAATATATCAGAGGGTGACTACTTTAATGGATCTAAGGAATGAGCCTATTAAGTGAAAACACGGTTTTCTTCGCCCATCTCCATATATATTCATTCTAAATTCTTTTGGAGATGTTTGACATTAATTAATGGTATAACAGGTATTCATATGACTGTGTATCTCACGTGACACCTTTTATTTATTTTTTGGTCATGCATGCTAGACAAGTACTCTACCACTGAGCCATACCTCAGCCTTCATTTGGCAGCGTTCTTTAAGGAACAATTTGAGTGGGATCCTCCCATTCACCTAAAGAGCATTTTAAATCCAGGAGACTTCAGGGCAAGAATAATAGATTTTCCAAGTAGCATCCCTTTGGAAGAAATAGTAGTGGGTTATTAATATAACACATTACTAGCTATTCTAAGAAAAGTAGAACGCAAAAGCTTTATGTGCTCTCTTATTTTTAAAATTATATTGTTGATTTTGGATCATAGATTACACAGTGGTTCATTATTACAAAACACATTCACATTTTGAATTATTAGAATCTTTTGTCATTGAATCTAAGGTTTTTGTGGTTGGTTTGTTAGGTTTTTTTTTTTTTTTTTTTTATAGTGGTACTTGGGATTAAACTTGGCCTCGAGTTTGCTAGATAGGCGCCCTACCACTTGAGCAACTCTACCAGCCCTTTTTACATTGCTTATTTTTGGTAGAGGGTCTCACTTCATGCCCTGACTGGCCTGGACTATGATCCTCCTATTTGTGCTTCCCTGCAGTAGCTGGGATGATAGGCACATGCCACCATGCCCAGCCATTGGTTGAGATGGTGTCTTGTGAACTTTTTGCCCAGTCCTCCCCGTCCCTGCCCCCCAAGTAGCTAGGAATACAGGCTTGAGCCACTGTGCCAGGCTGAATCTTTTAAATTTTTTTTAAATCTTTTAAATCTTTTTTTAAAACTTCCAATTTTAGGAATGAATGCTAAATTTTTTGTTCATCTCAAAAGTTACACATTTGCCTTCTTTGGCTCACTTGAATGATTTTAAATCTTAACATTGTCTGAAACAAAAATAGGAGATAGGAAAGCAACAATACTTAAAAAGACTTCAGTTCTAATACAAAATTTTGCTTATTACTTGGGCAAATTGCTTTACTTTTTTAAGCCTGACCTTTCAACTATAAAAGACTTCTTTTTTGAGCAATATGACTGACTAGACAACCTGAAGATATTCTTAATATAAAATACCTAGAAATACCGACTGAAAAATAACTTCTCATTTTAAATGCATAGCTGAGTTTAAGAATTAAGGAAAATCTGCTGGACAGTATGACCTATGCTTATAATCCCAGCTACTTGGGAGACACAGATCAGGAGGATCTTGGTTTGAGGCCACCCCTGGATAAAAAGTTAGCAAGATCCCATTTGAACAAATCAGTCAGGGCATGATCAAGTGGTAGAGTGCCTGCCTAGCAAGCACAAAGCTGTAAGTTCAAACCTCATCATCACTGGGGTGGGGGTGGGGGGAAGCCAGGCTTAGTAGTACATGTCTTATCCCAGCTATGTGAGAAGCTTAGGTAGGAAGATTATAGTTCAGGCAAAAACTGGAGAATCCATCTGAAAAATAACTAAAGCATAAAAGGACTGGGAGTATGGTTCATGTGGTAGAGTACCTGCCTACCAAGCAAGCAGAAGGCTCTGAGTTCAATCCCTCACCTCTGTCTCCCCTCCCCCTGCCCCAAGAATAGGGGCCAGAAGTATAGAGGAGATTGAAACATAGAATGGCAAGACTAACATAGATAGGTGACTCTCTACCAGTCTCAGTAACAAATGGATTTTATTGTAAAGGGCCATAAAACCCAGGGTTTGTCCTAGGTAAAGGATGGGAACAGGTCTTACATAAGGTTGGAAGTTTTATATATTTTACCTTCAGAGAGAGGGTAAAATAGAAAATCTTCCCACTGACTCTTGAACACACTATTCTGTGTTAAGAGTGATAAAAAGAATTGTTGGCTTGGGGTGTTACTCAGTGGTAGAGGCTCTGATTCCCACCACCACCACCCACCCACTCAAAAAAAAAAAGAATTGCAAATAATAGTCAGTGGTTTTATCATTATCATTTTATCATTTTAACACACTATTCTGTGTTAAGAGTGATAAAAAGAATTGTTGGCTTGGGGTGTTACTCAGTGGTAGAGGCTCTGATTCCCACCACCACCACCCACCCACTCAAAAAAAAAAAAAGAATTGCAAATAATAGTCAGTGGTTTTATCAATAGTCTGTAGTAATAGTGTTAGTAGTGATATTATGAGTATTATAGAAAAGCAAATCAGTAAATAATACTTTGGAAACTGAAACTTACATGTCAGAGAAAAAGAGATCCATGTTTAAAATTTGATGAGAAAAGGCCTTTTAATACCACTTTTGTGGCTGCCTAAGTGGCTCAAGTAGTAGAGCGCCTGCCTAGCAAGTGTGAGACCCTAAGTTCAAACCCCAGTACCATCAAAAATAATTACATTTGAGTTGAGGATATCAATATGAAGTCATGTATAAACTCATGTTTTGACAAAAAGTTGTATTGGGGGGCATGGCTCAAGTGGTAGAGTGCCTGTTTAACAAAAAATCTCTTGGTTAAATCCACTGAAAGGATCTAGAAACAATGACTCCCTAGTAGCAATAATCACATCTGGCTTCTAGATCTTGGTGCCTACCATTCTTCACCAAAAGGAACTAGGGCTTCCTTGAGAAATAACCAATTACACATTGTATAGTAAGAAAAGAAATAACAATTGTAAGAATTGGAAAAGAAGAAAAATGCTATTTATAGGTAATACAGTTATTTACATAGAAAACCCAAGCATGGCAACAAATTAATAGGACTAGTAAGGGTATATCCCAGGTATGGGAGAGCATGCCTGTAATCTCAGAAGACTGAGGCAGGAAGATTGTAAGTTTGAGGCCAATCTGAACTTCATAGTCAGATCTGTCGATAGATATACATGGATGGATGGATGGATGGATGGATGATAGGGCTGTAAGTGTGGCTTAAGTGGTAGAGCACCTGCCTGGCAAATATGAAGCCCTGAATTCAAGCCCCAGTACTGCCAAAAAAACTGAACTGGATAGAAAAAATTTTAGAAGTTCATCAAGGATGCTAGGTATAAAATAGACATATAAAAATAACAGTAATGTGCAGTTATTACAAAGTATATATTTTTAACTTTTAAAAATATAAAATACCTTAGGAATAAATATGACAAAATTGGCATATCTATTTTAGAAAACAATATTTATCTAATGAAGTTACAGGTTCAGGACTGTGTAATGGTTACACAGAAGAGCTGATTTTTTTGTTATTTATAATGTTCTAAATATTATTTTAGGCACTAAGGTTTCAGCAGCAAATAAACATAAGAATGTGGGCTGTGGGTATAGCTCAGTAGAGGAGTGCTTATTTAGCATGATTGAGACCTGGGTTCGATTGCCAACACTGCAAATAACAAACAACAACAACAACAAAAACCCATAAGAATGCAGTACAGCATTGTTTCTATCATGTATTGGAAACAATGTAAGTGTTTGATCATTAACAGGAGAATGAATAAATTAGATATATCATACAATGAAGAAGATATGTTAAAGCAAATGAATAAGAGATATGTTTTATCAACATGGAAAAAATCTAGAAGTGCTATGTGAAAAAAATAAAATTGAAAATAAACATGTGTTTTTTAAAGTAATATTTATATAAAGCAAAACAATATGTATTTCCTATGAGATATACACATATCATAAAAATGCAAATGTATTGAAATAACACCAAGTTTAGGGTAGAAATCTCTGGGGAGAGAAGAAGAGAAATAGGATTTATTAGGTGTTTGTGGGGCTTCAGTTGCATTTGTTTTATTTTATTAAACTGGGTGTTGTTACCTAGAAGTTGTTCCTTATGTTTTGTATACCAAAAATAGTTTATTATAATTCAGATTAGCTATACATTATTTTTCTAGTTATACAGTTAAATGATACAAAGTAACAATGTTTTGAAAAATGGTATAGAAAAATCTAAGTTGTTACAGTTAGTGCTTCACTAAACTTTCCACCCTTTCCCTGGTATGCTAAATTAATTCCTAATACCCAACTTAAACTACCCTTTCTAGATATAAAATCTAGTATATACCTTCTATTTCTTGAAATGTTCTGATTTTTTTACATTTTGAAGTTGAATGTTTATGTGCTGTTATCCTATTTATTATTTCCAGTGAGATGGTTGTATGTACTGTTACTGACACTAAAAAATGATAATATTGTTCAAAATGTCATTCTTTCTGTTACTTTCTGTAATACGCTTCTGCTGCCCAGTGACCTACTTGTGTTAGAATTAAATGACCCTGTCATCTTTTCCAGATAAATGCAGTACGTGCAATAGTTCCTAATAAGAGCAACAATGAAATCATCCTGGTTTTGCAGCACTTTGATAATTGTGTGGACAAAACAGTACAAGCATTCATGGAAGGTAATCCTAGCTCAGACTTTTTTTATATATATTTTTTTGTACTTATTGAATAGAAGTTGCTTCAGACTTTTAGAACACTCTGCAATCCAGTGTTTCATAGATGATAGAGTAGACTCCATGGAAATGTGTAACAAGTACCTAGAAACTACTTTTGCTACAAGTAGTGATTCTCCACTTGAGCCTGCAAAAACTCTGGCTCCATTTTTGCATCTACCTTTGTTCTGAGTCATCGTCTTCTGAGGTCAGCAAGTACGACAAGACTAATGCATAAACATCTTGTGACAGGAGTCAAAATGCGCCCCCCACCCCACAACAGTGATTTTCTAACTGTGACAAGGCCCTGCCTGACTAATCCTGAGATAATGAGCAATGGGATCACACTACTGACTACACTTTGACTGGGACTGTTTAATAATTATGCATACCTCTCACTCCCTGCCCCAATTCTTCCTCTATTTAAACTCAAAAGCTCATGTTTGTACCTGAATGGGCTGAAATGCTTACTTTCTGCAGTGTGCCCATGCTGAATTCATAAATCTCTCTGCTTTTCACTACTAGTTATCTCTTTATTTGGCATATTGTTTCAACATATCTGTCATGTTGGACTCTGGAGCTGGGCATCTGGCCTAGAACTCTGGCTATAGTAATGTAGCATGTCATGACATTTTGTTAATGTAAGGTACTGCTTTTAGTCCTAGAAGCAATTCATTCATAAACTATAAGATACCTGGAATAAGAGACAAATAAGAAAACTCCATTTTTTTATGCAAAATATTCTGTACTGGTATTTAAGAAGAAATTGGTGGTATAAGGGACAGTGGTATAAGAGAGTTGGGTTGAAAAGGAATTTGAGATTTCATAACAAAGGAGTGATTCAGTGGCCTAGGGACAGGTGGCAAATTCAAGGACTCAACCATTCTCTTCCAAGCTCTACTGTTATTTAGTTTGGCTGTGGCAGTGCCTCAGATATGTTGGTTGAGTTTCCTTATCTAACATATAGAAAAGAATGAGAATTGTGTACGTCAAGCCTTCAGATGTACAGAGTTAAGGAATGTTTTATAAATGTTCTTCCACATAACTCCTTTGAGGAAAACTTTTCTTGAAGCCATTCATCATTGAACAGTGATGTCAGGTTAATGTCTTCTGTTTCCATTTTCCTGAATTTGCAAGTATGGGATAAATAGGTCTTTGCCTTCATCTGTTTTCTTTATAATGTTAGTGTTTGGATCTGGTGCAGTGTGTAGCTTTCTCCAAAACACCATAGCTAAGGTAGTGTGTAACCTAGAGGGGAGGGCATGTGTAACTTAAGTGGAAATTGGTCATCTTTGTACTCAGACTAAGATATGTAGATAAAAGAATCTTCAAAATGGCTAGATTACATTAGTCTCTTCTTGAAAGAACTCACTGGGGAAATTACATGGAGACAGGAATCTAATAAGTAAGCATGTATTCCAAAAGAGAAGCATGACATGACTAACTCGTTACATTATTTCAGAGACTTGATCTTTAACTTTTCTTATTAGGAACTTTGGGAATTCTCCAGCAATTATAAAATGCAGGTACACCAATTACTATTAGACTATGTATGTGGTAGGAAAGAAAATCTGTAATTGATTTCTTTTACAGGTAGTGCCAATGAAGTGCTCAAAGAATGGACAGTAACAGGCAAGAAAAAGGTAAAAATTGAGTTTAAGAGCACAGTGATTTTATATTATTTTTAAATTTTTATGCACTGCAAAAATATTTGAAAGAAAAGATTTTCATAAATATCTTTATTTCATCTGGTTAAAATCATCTTTGACCCTCAAATGCAGTTGTGCCTCACAGAGTACCACACACTCTCTTCTTTCTTATGATCGAAGGCAAGAATCAGAGTGACTTTGCTATGGTGCAGTTGCTGAGGGGTTAATAGACAGGGTTTGAAGCAAAAGAGCATGTCAAGGAAAGCATAGCTCCTCCAGAGAGAGTGATGTGGTTTTCAACAGTATTTATATTGCAGATCAGCTAAAACAATTCAGTGTTTTTTGTTGCTGTTTTTGTCTTTTTTGAGACAAAGTCTCACTATGTAGCCTTGAACTTGCAATCTCCCTGCCTCTACCTGTGAGTGCTGGGATTACAGGTATTTGACAGTATACCCTGACCAGTTCAGATTTTTAGGTTATAGTCTCTAATACTAATAAATTTTGTCTTAAAGCGTAAAGAGGGATTTTACTACTAAAATTGTTAGGTGTCTTCTGGAGTAATCTGGCATTGCAGTTCAGGGAGGCAAAAGGCACTTGGACTGTGGAGTCAGTTAGAACTAGATTTCTGTCCTGTTCTGCTACATCTGACTTTTGTGACCTGGGAGTATCAATTAACCTTTGTGTGCTTTTAATTTGCTCATCTCTAAAATGGAAAATAATACTGATGTATACAAGTACTTAATATAATACCTAATAAAAACCAAAAAGCTGCCCTAAGGGATATTAGCTGGTCTCAAAATTCTTCCACAGCTCAGTACTCTAAATGTAGCACCTTAAGGAATTACTGAAGTATGGATTTTAATCAGGTATATCTATGAAATGTGTTTGGGATATTTTTCCTGCATTAAGTTGGTGCTGGAGTTCTGAAATGGTTTTTGGTTGTTGTTTTTTTTTTTTGGGTACTGGGGATTGAATTCAGGGCCTCATGCTTGGTAGGCAGGTATTCTGCCATTTAAGCTATGGCCCCAGCCCTGAAATGCTTATCTGACTCACTTTATTTGGAGTCCTTTCAGGTCTTGACCAAATCAGGTCAGGACTTGACCCCAGTGACCCTTGAGAATTTTTTCCAAGAGGTACCTTATATTACTACATATTCTCCTGAAGCTCTCCTTGCCTGTAGCTTAGCATATTTAACTTTTTTTCCCACTGATTTTGCCCAACATAGATAGCTATGTTATAGAAAACACCAATGTCTTGATTTATTGGCCTAGAATTATAAATTATTAGTGATATAAGATGTGCTCATAGATTAAAAAAAAAAGTATAGTATTGGGCACATGCCAGTTCCTTAAAATCTGGAGAAAGATAGCTTCAGATTGATATTCCCCAGTGCCCAAATCTAGTTCAGTTAACTGTTGGAATTAGTCCAATAGGACATGACTGTGAGTAATTACTAGGGTAGTTGTTACATGGGACAATGATATGAAAACTTAGCCAGTTCACATGGGAGAAATTTAAGATAAGGATATTAAGATAAAGCTTTGAGGAAGAGAAAATTGTATCTTGAGTTCAGTTGTACTACTGGAGAGAGCCACCAGAGCACATTGGGTAAAAATTGATTCAGTCTTATCAATCTAGTCTTAGGAATAAAATTTAAGTATTGCCAGTGGAACTACAGGTTGACAAAACAAGAGATAAAGACTTGTTTATTCAGTGTTATGCAAGTACTGCTATTCTAGTCCCCAGACAGTTTTCTGTGCAAAATCTTGAAAATCAATAAAAATGGAAGGGATAATTTGGGGGAAAAAAGACTTACTAGTTTCTTTCTTTTTTTGCGGTACTGGGGTTTGAACTCAGGGCCTACAGCTTGCACCACTCGACCAGTCCTTTCTTGTGATAGATTTTTTCAAGATAGGGTCTCGTGAACTGTTTGCCCGGGATTGGCTTCGAACCATGATCCTTCTGATGTCTGCCTCCTGAGTAGCTAGGATTACAGGCATGAGCCACTGGGTGCCCAGCATGAAAAAATGTTTTATATTTATGTGTTTGGGTTAGAGGCATGGTGCAAGTGGTTGAATACTTGCTAAGACTTTTGAGTTCAAAACCAAGTACTAACAAAAAAAGTAATTAAAATTTTTTTTAATTTTACCATGTAAAATTTTATTTTAGACAATGGCTTAACATATACAAAAATATGTTCTATTTCTGAGAGAATGTATGTGAAACTGGTAACATTTGTTACCAATTGTTTTGGTAGCTGGAGCTAGTTAACTCTTTGGGTTGTTTTAAAGGGATCTGCTTTTTCTTTTCATTTTTCAAATCTTCAATAACCTTAGAACAAAAAGAAGAAAAGCAAACCAAAACCTGCAGCAGAAGCAAGTAACTGTATCCCAGACTCTAGTAAATCAGTTTCCACTCAAGAGGAGCAGTCTGCACCTCCCTCAGAGAAAGGTGGCGTTAATGGTTACCATGTTAACGGTGCCATCAACGATGCCGAGTCTGTGGACTCACTCAGTGAAGGTTTGGAGATACTTTCAATAGATGCCAGAGAATTAGAAGATCCTGAGTCTGCCATGCCAGATAGATTGGACAGAACAGGTGAGTTCATTAACTGGTTTTTGGAAAGTTGAAATATACAGTGGCCTCCACGTTAATCTAAATGGTGTTTTACTTTTTAATTTTAATTACATTTTGTGTAGAGTTCATTTTATAATTATCAAAGCCTAGAAAAATATAGTTCTTTTTCTCTTCTCTCATATTTTGTCTAAATCAATCTTGTGAAAATCTAACTTAATAAATAGCAGAGGAGTAGCTTATTATTTAGAGATAGCAAAAAGTGACTTTGAGATACTTTTTAAATAATTGTAGAAAATTATGCAGTAATGATGTTGATGTTTAAGACCTAACACAGTAAGAGATATAATATTGACTATGATCATGGTTTTCACAAGAACTAGACTGTTTATTTTGCAATACTATATTTGTTTTTTAGCAAAGAGTTACAATTAGTGATAATTGTAAATTCACATAGCTTATTCATTTTTTTGTTAACCATTTTGTTGAAGGCTGGGAACATACTGGAAATCTTTTTTTTTTTTTTTTGAGGGAGTGGTGCAAGGGAATGAGCTCAGGGTCTTGTTCTTGCTAGCAGGTACTCTACCACTTTGAGCCACTCCACCAGCCCAGGAATCTCTCTTTTTTTTTAAATTACTTATTTGTTCATCCAGTTTCCCCTGCCTTTATATGCTTTATAAATGTAATGCCAGTGTAAAAATTATACTGTGATTTTTAGATATTCATTTACTGGTTAATTCACGCATACAAAAAAAAAATGACTTAGAGAAAAAAGTTTTACATTTCTGGGCTAGCTTTTCTCTCATTTCCTAACTGTATCATTTCTCTACTCCCTAAAGCTTCAGTTCTTTTTTTCCCAGAGACAATGTAAAACTTTCTTCAGTGTAACTTATGGAAGCCAACAAACTTTTTAATTTGCATGGTTTTGTCTAAAACATTTTTATCTGTTTTCTTTGTGTATTTAAGACTGTTTGATGATTTACCCCTTCATTGTGCTCTTGAAATACTGTCTTCTTTCTTGGATAGGATCCACGCTGGAGAATGGTGTCCCAGAATCTGTACCCAAGTCTTTGACTATGCGCTCTATTCAGAATGCTCAACAATCCAGGAATGCTGCTAGATCTCTCTCAAGACACACCACAGGATCTCAGTTTTCAAATCTGGGGGTGGAGGATATTCCACCTTCCTCTACCAGTAAAAGACTAGGTAAATCAAAAGCCCACTTGGGGGTCAGAAGAAAAGATCTGTTTTTGCTAGTGAGGGCAAATTACCTCTTCTTTCCCCTAAATAAGGTTTCAGCAGGACATTGGATAATCCTTTTCCTATTTTACCCAACCCTTCTTTCTTATCTCCATGTATACAGTTGGGAATCTTGAGAGTAGTTAAATGCTGTACAGTCTTGTTACAATGCCAGGGACCCTTTTATGTGAATTAAGCAAAGTCTATTGCCAGAATGACTTAGCATACATTAACCTGTTTCCTTTCTTCACTTTTTTCCAATGTTTTTGTGCAGTTTCCTTCATTTTTATCTCCTGACTGACTCAACAAGTAACAAGCTCTTCCATCTGATGTGACATTTCAAAGAAATATGTTCACTGTTTTTTTACAACTTCATGTTCCTACTGAAATCTGACAAACTTTTAACAAAATCATTTTCTCAAGTATTTAGCACTAATCATTTAAATAATCAATAATTAACCAAACAGATTACAGCCCCTCTAAGTTTCATATATCTGTGCATGGTATTTCACTCCAGTGAACAAATGAAACATAGAAATGTAAAGGACATTTGTAACCTAGAGCCATTTATTCAGAGGGAATACATTTTAATTAGTGCAGCTCCCTTATTCATCTTTGTGGTATCCCTCAGCTTGATGAAGAACAGCAAGTCTGAGAATATCTAGTCAAGCAAAAATAAAAGAAGTTGTGTAAGCACAAGGTGTAAAAGCTTTTAGGTAGGTTCAAAAAGAAATCAAATTGGAATGAGAAAGAATTTAAATTAATAAATTGAGTTGGACTGGATACCAGTAGCTCATACCTGTAATCCTAGCTACTCAGGAGGCAGAGATCAGGAGGCTTGTGGTTCAAAGCCAGCCTGGCCAAATAGTTTGCGAGACCCTATCTTGAAAATATCCATCACGAAAAGGGCTGGCAGAGTAGCCCAAGGTGAAGGCCCTGAGTTCAAGCCCCAGTACCAAAAAATAAAATAAATCAACAGGTTTGGCATGGTGGCAGGAGCCTTAGTCCCAGCTACTCAAGAGGCTGAGGCAGGAAGATTGCTTGAAGCCCAGAAGTTTGGGGTCAGCCTAGGCAACACAGCAAGACTGACTCTAAAAAATTAATTAATAAAGAAGTTGAAAATGTAACTGGGCACAGTGGCTCATGCCTGTAATTATAGCTATTTTGGGAGGTTGAGATCAGGAGGACTGAAGCTCAAGGTCAGCCTGAGCAAATAGTTAGCAAGACTCCTTCTCCAGAATAACCAGAGCAAAATGGACCAGAGGTGTGGCTCAAGTTTTAGAGAGCAAAGCCCCAAATTCAAACTCCAGTCCCACCTAGGAAAAAAAAAAATTGAAAATGTGAGCTGGTGATACACAACTGTAATCCCAGCACTGGGGGAGGCCAAGGCAGGAGGATGCATTTTCAAACCTGGGGTACTTAGTAAGACCCTGGCCATGTCTCAAAACAACAACAAAAAAAAGGGCAGAGGATGTAACTCACTGTTAGAGTGCCTGCCTACCATGTACAAAGCTATGGGTTGGCTCCCCAACATCACCAAAAAAAAAAGTGAAAATGTATGTCTTGGCACAACTATAAACTTCTTGCATCCATGATTCCAACAATCAGATGTATATATAACTGGCATTAGTGAACAGAAAAGTTAATAGAACTCTTGGAAAGTACTTAAAATGTTAGGTAGTTAAATTATTTCATCTTTTCTACAAAGCTGACTTCCCCACATGTAATGTTTCAGAATGTACTATAGAAAAAGTACTTTTTAATTTTGTTATGTCTACATGGGGAATTACTCTATTAAGTCCTGTCATTTAAGGAGTTTTGAAAATTTTATACTTAAATAGTTTTATTCTGTTTTTGAAGTTTCTAAAATTGTTATCTTTAAATTCATTTATCTTTTTTAACAGTCTCTCATCTGCTGTTAATTCCATCCAGTTGTTTTCATCACAGACATTGTTTCATCTCTAAAAGTTCAATTGAGGAGTTTTAAAATGTCTTCTGTATCTCTGCTTAATATGTTTCTGCATTCCTCTACCTTCTTAAGTATATGGTATCTGATTATAGTAGCTATTTGATGTCCTTTTCTACTTGATTCTGTTATCTGTGCCATTTCTATTACTGTTTCTATTGATTGACTTTTCATTATAGGTCATATTTTTATGGTTTTTGTTGTTTTGGTTTTTTTTTTTTTTTTTTTTTTGCTTCTGTGTATGCCTGATAATTTTTTATTGGATGTCCATGTCAGAAATTATAAATTTTGCTTTGTTGATTACTAGATATTTTAATTTCTTTAAACATTCTTGTGATTTGTTCTGGGACTTGGGTTTTGTGAAAACAGTTTGAGGTTTGCTTTTAAAAAAGCATTGTTAGGCGGTAGTAGAGGAATCTTTGGTTTATAGCTTTTTTCAAGGTGGGGGTTTGAACTCAGAGCTTCTGAGTTTGCTAGGCAGGTGCCCTACCGCTTGAGCCACACCTCTAGCCCAGTCTACAACTAACTTTGCTTCGCTACTTCACTAAGTTCTCACCTGGTGCCCATATTTTCTGAGGTTTTTCCACACTGGCTAGTGTGAACACAGTAGACCTAGGTGATCTCTGGGGATTGTCTGCCTGCTCCTTTACAGTATCTCTCTTTCCTGTCCTGGTACTAGATTAATACTCAAAAGTCTTGTGGAGAGCTCCGTGTAGCACTCTAATCTTTGTGTAGATTTCTTTAGTAATCTACCCTGAGAATTCTAGCCACCTTACCTTCTAAGTTCTCAATTCATAATTGTCCCCTCAATTCTGGGAGACTGCCAGAATCTTACATTGCCAGACTCAATGTAAGATTTTTTCTATCTGCATTGTAACCTAGAAACTCTCAAGTGAGTAAGTGGGGGCAATCATAGGCCTCACTTCATCCATTTCTGCTTTTGCAGGGGGAAAATACAACCTGAAAACATACCTTTTGTCTGTATGTGTGTTAATTACTTTAGAGGGGAGAATGAATTCAGTTTTTGTTACTTCATCTTGACTAGGATACTTGTTTTTGTTTTTGTTTTGTTTTTCAAAAATAAGCCTGAAAAATTATTATTCCTTTTTTGTGTTGGAGAAAGTGGTAATTTAGGAAACATTAGTCCAAATTACATTTGTTTTAGGTGTTCAGATCCAACTTTTAAGTTACATGTTCCTTTTTTTTAAACAATCTTTGGGTTTTTTCCTCTAAGGTTCCAATATTGAAAAGTCAGTAAAAGACCTCCAGCGCTGTACGGTGTCTCTTGCACGATATCGAGTTGTAGTTAAAGAAGAGATGGATGCTTCCATTAAGAAAATGAAACAAGCCTTTGCTGAATTGCAGAGCTGGTAAGTTACGTTGATATATGATTAGCACAAAAATGATCATTTATAAAGATGGTCAGCCATTCACCAGGTTCTTTAATTCCCAACCCCTAACTACTTTACGTAGAAGAGAGAGACTTAAAAATCCTATGGTATATTTAACTTTCTGCTTTGTTTTATTTTGTTTGGTCTTTGTGGGAATGAGCAGTACAGAGAACTCACAGTACTCTAGGAATGGGCCTGAGGTTAATATTTTTTGGAAAAAGACAGTTACATAGATCACATACTCTTATTTTAGGGTCTGTCTTTTAAACCAAGAATGTAACAAATAACATGATGATTGAACAAAATTATTAAGTAGAAAAGATCCTTTCATTCTTAATGCACCTCACCCCAGCAATTTCTTCTGTGCCTTATAATTAATCATTGATTTGCCTTTTGTTTTATTTGAGACAAGGTATTGCTATGTAGTCCAGGCTGGCCTGGAACTCACTGTGTAGCCCATGCTGTCCTTGAACTCAGGTTCCCTTCCTGGGATTACAGGTATACCTCACCACATTTGGCTTTGATTGGCTTTAAAATTTGTGTTTCTCAAGTTGTGTTCTATAAAATATTCATTTCTTAAAATATATTAATATGCACCAAATGATGTTTGGTGAAGAGATTTGAAAAAACTTTTTTAAAAAAGTGCCTTTTGAATGCTAATGTGCACTGTGAATTCCAAGAGGAAGCTATACTATTCTGTTTCTCAGATGTATTTGTTTATAGAATCCTTGTTTAGGGAGAAATATATGCTAATGTTTTCTAGAACACCAAAGCTATTTTAGCTATTGGATATTGAGGTGTTCTGTATTTAAACCATAGCTCCTTTCTGGGAGTATTTGCATTTTATAAGGTATTTTTTGAAAACAGAAAAGACTTTAGAACCAAATTAATCAAAATGACAGAAAAGACAAGCAGCTGGGCTGATTTAAGGATTTAGGACTATGCAGTCTGTTTATTTGTAAGAACTCCCTACATCTGAAATGTGACAGGAAGTTTATGAATACAGACACCCACTCTTCCCTGAACCATCCCTCCATTTTCTTGTTGCTTGTTTATTGACTGCTTCCTTAGATCTTGCCCAATCATTTCTCTGTTCACAAACTTAGTCTACTCACTATGTGCTACAGTAAACAAGAGAGGCTCTGGAATTGAATAAGGAGTAACATAAAGGAAATAGGATGACATCTCCAAAAAGTTAAGTTATCATAACCAAAAGTACCTTTTAAGGCAGATAATTCATCTAGTAATGTACCTATACCTTGTCCTGAACCCCAAGTTTCACCTTTCAGATTTTATGGCTAGGAACTTAACGTGATGCCTTCTATTTTTCTTAACACACATTTTTGCACCTGCTTACTCATTGTCTCAAAACTTAACATTCACATTTCCTATTTCACATCCTAGTTAGTGCCACTTTCCCAGCCTGATATATTCCCCTACCTCTGAATTTAACTAAATCCAACCAGTTCTCCTAAATTTCCCTTATATTAAGCTCTAACTTCTGAAAACTTAACTAGGTAACTAATGTATTCTTTTTCTAAACCTCTGTGAGGAAGCACCATGTCCCTTGCACTGGATTCTTGTCATATCAGAAATTGTTGGTATATTTGGAAAATAAAAGAGCCTGGAGTGGGTCATCACAACTTTGCTTTGGTAGGCTTCTGGTCTCCATGGCTGTTAAGCTTTCTCATTACTTAGCCACAGGACCTGATTCTGTCCAGAACAAATCTGAACCAGGAAACACAGATATTTGTGCATTCCTGCTCACCTGGAACCTAGACAAGAGGAACCTACTTCAGTAAATGACAAATGAAATGGTTTCCTGCCTGGGAACTGTGTATTTAGTATTGATTAGCAGACTTAACAACCAGGTCAATTTAACTTGAGGAAAGAGATTATCTGCCCTTTCCTGCTGGTGCAAAGCCCTTCTCTCTGGCTGATTGGGTTTTTAAGCTACCCTATTTCAGTGTTCCTTATAATTGCTACTTCAAGACGTAATTGACAGGTGAGCTAATTTCATTTGACACCAAACCAGAGTTTGAAGCTAATGTCACTTAGAAAGCCATTTTTGTGTTGGTAGTATCAAAGAAAAGCAGACGCTTCTAACAGATTTACAGCAGTAAGATTACATTACCCCTGACAGGGCAGCATGGAAATTATGTAGATTACTCCTTTCTCTTTGATGTCAAATAAAAGCTGATGCATACCTGAAGCAAGGTACAATCAGAAGCTTTCCAATACCCAAAAGTTAAAAATCTGTTCCTAGGTAATATTGGTACTAATCATCAGTAGACACAAGTTTACTTTCCTTGCTAATTAGTAAAATTTGTCTGCTTTACATTGTTGAAGCTGTTAGTTGACTTAAGTTTAAGACTGTTAAGGAAGCAGGATACAGAGAAGGATGTGAAGTGGGAGTATGTAAACTACTTTGGAAGGTTGTCATACAACATGTTGTATTTAAAATAAAAAAAGCTGGGTGCTGGTGGCTCACGCCTATAATCCTAGTTACTCAGGAGGCAGAGAGCAGGAGGACTGTGGTTCAGAGCCAACCTGAGCAAATAGTTTGCAAGACCCTATCTTGGAAAAACCTATCACGAAAAGGGGCTGGTAGAGCGGCTCAAGGTATAGACCCTGAGTCTAAACCGGTACTAAACCCCAGTACTGCCCCCCCCAAGTGCATACTCAGTTTCTCTTTTAAATAAGTTTTAACTTAAAGTCAAAGGTATTATTAAAAAGAGAGGTGGATAAAAAGAAAAAGACTCAAGAAATTTGAGATTAGAGGCTGGGGATGTAGCTCACTGGTAGAGTACTTGCTTAGCATGTGTGGTACTCTGGGTTCTATTCTCAGCACCACAAAAAGAAAGAAATTTGATATTATATGACATATAAAGCATAAAGTCATGTAAGTCTGTGGTTATGATTTTGAAATTTTTTATGGCTAATTCATTTCTGATACTTAGAAAACGAGCCAGAGGTGTGATTCAAGTGGTAGAGTATCTGCCTAGCAAGGGCAAGGCCCAGAGTTCAATCCTCAATGCCACTAAAACAAACAAGATACTTAAAAAAGTTACTTCCAGACTGAAGATGTGGATCAAGCCATAGAGCACCTGCTTTTGCAGGTGTAATGTACTGAGTTCAAACCCCAGTTCCACCCCAAAAAAGTTACTTCCTTTTATTTAAGCTTCTAATTTCTTATATTCAATCAAGCTACCGGTAGTTTTACCAGATATTTAAGTCCATACATTTAAAGGCTATATAGACATGCTGAAAACTTAAAAAATATTTTATGAGCCAAAGCCCCTCTAAAAATATCTTTAAAAACATAAAAATAAAGGAACATGCTAATGTGAGCTTGCCTTCATAGTTATTGATGTTCTTTGATTTAAAATTAAATTCTTGACTGGCCACAGTGGCTCAAGCCACTTAGCTACTTGGGAGGCAGAGATCAGGAAGATTGCAGTTTGAGGCCAGCCCTGGCAAAAAATTTGCAAGACTCCATCTCAACCAATTGCTGGGCACAGTGATGCATGCCTGTTATCCAGCTGTGCAGGGAAACACAAGTAGGAGATTGTGGTTCAGGCCAGCTCCACCATAAATCAAGACCCTATCTCAAAAATAACACAAAAAGGGCTGGTGGAGTGGCTCAAGTGGTAGAGCACCTGCCTAGCAAGTGCAAGGCCCTGTGTTCAATACCAGTACCACCAAAAAATAAATAAATAAAATAAAATTTAGTAAGCCTACAACTTGTGATGTCATGTTAGCCAACTACTTAACCAAACATTCAAATTCCTTTTTAGTACAACAGAATTTAAAAAACCTACTTTGTAGAAAAGAAATAAGGATAAATAAACAGATAATATAACTAAATGTGTTCAGTATTCTTTCTATGGTAGTAGTTATTTTTGGATAGCTAAAGAATTAAAATTTATTTTAATTGAGATGAGGTCTTCCACTGGGGTTTGAACAAAAGAGGGGCAGATCTAAATTCTTACAACCGGATTTAAACACTCAAGTCATGGACTAAAAAATTTGAGTTCTGGCGGGCGGAGTGACTCAAGCATGAAGCCCTGAGTTCAAACCCCAGCACTGAAAAAAAAATTAAAAATTTGAGTTCTGAACACCCTGTGAGAATGGCAGAAGTGCTGCTGATACTACCTTTTTCTAAAAAGGACTGTGAGAAATAAAACCTGATGAAATTAGAAGACATTTGGGGAATGAGGAGGGACAGTAGAAGGGAGAGAAAAGTCAAGGCAGCTGAGGAGATATCTCATGGTTGGCGTACCCTAGAAAATACAGCTACATTTATTAAAAGGATCACTAGAAAATGAATAAAAGGGCATATTAGAAAGTTAGTCTGCCAAATAAAATAAGTTCACTGGAATGAAAATTTCCCCTATGGTCAGATAAGAAAAAACAGCAAAAAATGCCTTCTATTTAGGTCCATTTTAAAATTTTCACTTCCCCTTTGGTGGGAGGAACAACCCTTGCAGTGCAAATGTGGAGAAACTTGTGACCAGTGGGCAATGAGGGAGAAGTATCTAGAACTGAGGTGTTTTTGATCATTGAAAAAGAATAGCTCATATTCATATTCTAACTTTTCTTTTTTTTTTTTTTTTGGTCTGGACTGACTGAGATCCTCCCAGTCTCAGCCTCCTGTGTAGCTTGAGATGGCATATGCGTACCACCACACCCAGCTATTGGTTAAGATGGTGGGGAGAGGTGTCTCACAGAGTATTTGCCTAGGCTGGCCTTGAGCTGTGAGCCTCCCAAACATGAACCATTATGCCTGGCTCATATTCTTATTTCTTAATAACTATTTCAGACTATTGAAATATGAATCACTTGTCCACATACTTTGTAAAAGGACTCCTTACAAAGAGACCCATCAAAATTTTCACTGTTCAAATTTGAACACCCAGACCAGGTATACTATACTCCCAACACAGTCAGGGCTGAGAGTATAGAATCTTAAAAAACACATGAAACATCATTAGTTCTCTACTAATAAAACCTATTGGCATTTCTCTTTTTCTCATTGCTTTATATGGGAAGAAGAAAGTCCTCAAAAAAAAAATTGCATTGACTTTGCTTGAATTTCTGCTTTGATTGACTAATAGAATTAAAATAAATATGTTTTAGGTTTTGAGCAAATAAAATTACAGATATTTTGTAAGAACATTATTGAGTGGTTTAGAGTATTGCCCCATGAAATAATTGCTGAATTATCAGAGTTCTGTTTCCATTCTAATACTGTTTCCCTAAAACAGTAACCATAAACAAGTGATAATAATTAACAATTTTTGGGTATCAAGGAATTACTGAAAGCAAGGCTAGAATCAAAATCAATAGCTTCATGTAAATATATCAATTAAAGGGCATGCTTCAAATGATAAACACTAAATATATCTTAAGATGTGAATGATAGTGCTGTAGTAATAACTATTCTGAGCAACTGTATGCAAAAGCTTTAGAATAAGTGGAACAATTATCAGGATGGTAAGAAGTCCTGGTATAGATGGAACAAAGGAAATATAGACCATTCAACTGCCAGTCTTTTTTTTCCATAGTAATAGTGAACAATCATCCTAAACCATCTTTCACGATTAAAGAAGGATTTGGAAATTCTCTACCCTGAGTTGTGTTTTTCTAAATAAAGTCCGGGAAATATTGAGCAAATTTTATTAGCAGTGTCACACAGTTTATCAGACACTCATTGTAGCATATTCCCATTGAAGAAAGCCTTGAGAGAAGCTTAGTAACCTGAGGTATTGAAGTGAACAGACCACAGAAAGCCTGACAGTCCAAATGAGCCTTTCATCACTTTCTGGGAGGGCTCATTGCTTTCATTTATGGCATCTAAAAACTATTACCTCAGACCACAAGTACTTCTGACTCTCTTGACCATCATTACATATTGGGACCGTACATACTAGGACCATTGTTTAGTTCAAGAACAGATGGAAAACAAAGTTAGCAAAGTTTCTTTGTTATAAAGTTCAGTTCCAGGAAGTTATTGTCAAAAAAAAAAAGTCTCTTCCTTTTTCCTGACCTACTTTCTGACTTTAACTCTTTTCACCTTCTATTTTGTGGTGCATGTGTTTCCCAGACTTTTTGTTATGAAAACTTTCATATATACAGATGATCTGAAAGATAAAAGAGTAAGCAACATATTTGTTGTGTGTATGTTGGTAGAACCATTTGGAAGTTGCAGGCATGATGATTTGTCATCCCTGAATGCTTTGCTTTAACATGAATGACCTGAGAACAAGTTATTCTTCTTTACAACCATAAAGCCATTCACGAATGAGATGCTTTAATAAGAGCTATTAATTTTAATGTCTATTCATATTTATATTTTAAAAACTTACAGTTTTGGGGGTTTTGTTGTTTTGGTGGGATTGTGGTTTGAGCTCAGGTCTTTCTACTTGCAAAGCAGGTACTCTACCACTTGAGCCACACCTCCATCTGTTTTGCTCTGGTGATTTTGGATATGGGGTCTCGAGAACCATTTGCCCAGGCTGGCCTCAAACCACGATCTCCCCATGTCAACTTCCCAAGTAGTTAGGATTATAGGAGTGAGCCACCAGCACCTGCAAGAAACAAAATTTTTAAATGATTGCTAGTCATTCTCACAGGGGAAAAAAAAATGCCATCACAATGTGCTGTCTCATATTGTCAGCAAAAGTCTGATTGTGTCATTGTAGAACTTAATTTCCTTGCTAAAAGTGTCATGTGATATTCTCCTTTTCATAGTAAAGATTGTAAACTGCAAAAAGTTTACTTATTCTCTGTATATTTTAATAAATATTTTACAAGCTTTGTTAAAGAATTTGTTGTCTGGTGGACACAGTGTCTTCATCTTTAGGTAATTTGGCAAAAGAAGAGAGGTAATACCAAACTGTAGGCCTGGCAGCTCCTATCTCAGTTGTACTTTTGTTTTGCCTTTTAGGTATTCCAAATGCTGCTAGAGTTCTTGGAGCAAACTATTGCCAAGGTTTGGGAAATGCTTTCTTAGCAAAGTATGGCTGCCCCACAATAGTTGTATTTTCTCTGCAGTCTGGTGCTTTTGGATTAATATGCCAACCAAATTTGTTTAGTTGCAAGTCTGTTTATTAACAGCATGCTACAATTATCAAACTTGTGTTCTTTGGCACTTCTCTACGAAGAATTTTGCTCCTTGACGAAATGACCCTGCCTTATTTGTATGCCTTATACTGCAGTCTCTGTATTAACTACTTTGTGCTAACATCACTACATATTGAGCTAAATTGAATTGGTCTGTATATGTATGTGTATAATCTTATTTCTGATTAAGAGTGGAATGTTTATTAACATGATAGTCATAGTCCCATTTAAAAAGAACAGTTGGGGCCAGTCATGGTGGTACATGCCTATAATCCCAGCTATTCGGGAGGTAGAGATAGGAGGATTGAGGTCCAAGCCAACTGGGCAAAAAGTTAACAAGAATTGACTGGGGCAAAAGTGACAGACCCTATCTGGAAAACAAACTAAAGCAAAAAGGGCTGGGGGCACGGCCCAAGTGATAGAGTGCTTACCTAGCAAGTGGGAGACCCTGAGTTCAAATCCAGTTCCACCAACAAAAGAAGGAAAAGGAAAAATCACATGCTTCATATGGTGATGAATGACTGCAATACCAGCACTTGGGAGATTAAAGCAGGAGAATTATAAGTTGGAGGCCAGTCTGGGCTACATAGCAAGACCCAGTCTCAAAAACACAAGAGCTACAGAAGCAGCTATGGAAAAAGGACCATCAACCGTCTTGCACCCCTTTAAAGATTAAAAGGGACCAAAGTCATTTAGGGGGAAATGAGGCTTAGGAGACAGGGAAATTAAAATTAATAAATATTAAAAGAGCCAGATCCAGACATTAGAACCAGGAAGTAGAAACTGAGCAGTTAGCTCCCTTCCACTACTCCCTTTTAAATGTTAAGATACAAGAACAGGGGCTACCTTCATCTGCCTTCCCCTTTGAGTTGTTAAGAAGCTACAGGGCTCCTCAGATTAGTAGAAAAAAATGCCACAGGAAGTCCTAAAACTCCCTTATTATTCCTGTGTGTTGAGTAGGCTTAGAGCATATCTCCATGTTTTAAAATAATAAACAGCATTCATCTTAGTCACCCAGAAACTAATGCCTACTGATTAGATACTGAAAGAAAGCATGGTCACATGTATTCCCCAGCTCAGAAAGTATAAAGAGCACAGATAAGAACTACCATTTTTGAGTCTTGCCTCCCATTTCCTGTGTAAAAAGCAGGAACTGTTTCTCCAACTTTTTCCATTTCTCCCTGCTTTATCCTGTTCTAAAATAAATCCTTGCTAAAACTTAACACACATACACATAACTGGAGATGTAGCTTAGTGGTAGAACACTTACCTAGCATTTGCAAGGCCCTGGGTTCCATCCCTAACACAACAAGTGAAATAAGAATGAACTCCACATCTAAAGAAAATAAATTGGTGGCTCATGCCTATAATTCTTACTATTTCTTGAGAGGTAAAGATCAGGAGGACTGTGGTTTAAAGCCAGCCTGGACAAAAAAAGTTTGTGAGATCCCATCTCAACCAATAAAGAAGCTGGCTGTAGTGGTACATGCCTGTCATTCCAGGTACAGGGGAAGCTCAGGCATAAATGTGAGACCCTATACAGAAAAATACGTAAAGCAAAAAAGGATTGGGGTGTGACTCACGTGGTGGAGAACCTGCCTAGCAAGCACAAGGCTCTAGACTCAAACCCTAGTCTTCCCCAGCCCCTCAAAAAAAGAGTTGAAATATTTCACCACTGAAACCAATAAGGAAATAAAACTTATAGGGAAGAGAATTTGTATCCAGAGGTTGAATATTAGGGTTACCTGCTATTTCCTTAGATATCAGAGGTTGTGGGCTCTGTTACAAGGTTATGGAAAAGCTTTACCTACAAACCACTTAAATTTGCACTTGAGAAAGTTCTAATTGCCCATTTAATTGTTTTTAATGTAGAAAGCCTACCAGAGACTTGTGATATAGCTCAATATAAGAGCTCTTACTCAGCATGTGCAAGGCCCTGGGTTTGATTCCCATCACCCCCCCACACACACACCAAAAAAAAAGCCTACCAGAAACTTTTAATTCTATCCTTCCAGATTACTATTAAATGTTTTATGAGAAATCAGCTTTGACTGTTCTGTGTCCTAAGGACTAAAATGTGAACTTGGTGCAACTGTAATCAGCTGTGGAAATATATAAATCCTAATCATGGATAGCTTTTCCTATACCCTAGTAGGGATATTGCTTGGTTAAAATTTATTAGAAGCAAGGCTGTCAAATTTTATAGACCAAAATATAAAAAATGTGAGTGCATATGTAGAAATGTGTAATTTCCACTAGGACTTGCTTTAGAACAATTAAAAAATGTTTTACAGCTTGCTACTGCCATCTACTGGTTCTCACCTCCTGGGCTTACAGCAACTGATCTATTAGAATATGTAGACAAAAGGACATTGGATATATTTATTTTATTGGAAATCCTGAAAATACTCTTTGTTGACAGTAAGACATCAGAATTTTCATGTGGTCTTTGAAGTGTTACTTTGAAGTAAGCTTTTATTGAACAGATTTACCAGTTTCACTATTAATAATGTGCTATTTCTGTGTTTGAGTTTCTGATTGAATTTTTTTTCCCTTTGTCATCTTTTCCTAGTTTAATGGATCGAGAAGTAGCATTGCTTGCTGAAATGGACAAAGTGAAAGCTGAAGCCAGTAAGATGACTGATCTTTCATTAAAATTATTGTCTACATAAATAGGTCTCTGTCTCTCAGCACTCATAATAGAAGCTCAATATGAGCCAGGAAAATTCCACCTCTTCCCAGCTACTTGGGAGGCAGAGTCAAGAGGATCTGAGACCAACCTGGGCAAAGATAGGAACCCCTATCTCAAAACCAGGAAAAACAAAAGGACTTGGGAGCATGGCTAAAGTGATAGAGCTCTTGCATAGCCAGGGTAAGGCTCTGGGTTTAATCCCCAGTTCCAAAAAAAAAAGGAGTGGGGGAAGCTCAATATGAATGCCACAGTAAGAGTTTACACATTTAATTAGTCAACGTTGAACAGCTGCATGCACTCACATAGGAATTCTTCTGGAATAAATAACTTTGCAAGAGTCTATTTTAAAAATACTACCAAGCTTTACTATATAGGATTGCATCATGGTACCTGCCACCTAGGCATCAACCTTAGGAACGTAAAGTATACTTTAGGTGCCTGGATTTCGTTTTATTTGATCTTTCCCTCTAGTCAATAAAGAATTCTACTAGGATTTTTTTTTTCCTATTAAAAAAAAAAAAACTTTAGCATAAATCAGAGAGGATTTTACTAGGCTGTCTACAATTGAGTGTATGTGTTCCTGTCATTATCTGTCTTGAAACTTTAATTCCTCAGTTTGTAGAATAGCCTTTACTCAGTGTGTAATTCACTCATTAGTGAATTGAGAGTTCAGGATATCATCACTAGGACTCCCTGAAAGGAAGAAAAAGAACCTAACTTGGGTAATTTGTGGGGTCTTTTACAGAAGAACCAGATAGTCTGGGTTTTTTGGTCATTTCTGTTAAGATATACAGCTACATGAAAAGAAAAATTACCATCTGCAACTTGGACGGTGGCATTGATTTGGGACTTTTCAGTGGCAGGTTTTACCTTCATGCATTCAATGCAAGATTTATAATTAGGAAGATTGTTTTCTTTTAACCTACCGTCAAACTGGTAAGAATAGAAATATAGGCTAGGTTGAGGTAATGGCTTAGAATTAAATCATTTGTGCCTGTGAACACCTTGGAAATACTGAGCTGAGTTCAGTTTTGGTTCATTTTAAAGTAAATGTTGAGAATGTAGGTAGACATACAATCTGCTATTTCTCAGAAGTGGCATTGCATATACATCGAACAGAATATCATCTACTCTCTAAATTTGAGTTACAGTCTTTTCTTAAACCAACATATTCTTTTTGAAGGTAAAGGTTTAGATAAACTAAAACTAGTTAGAAAACATAGTCTTTACTTTTGAGAAAAAAGTACTTTTTTAAATACATGTTTTATAGAAAATTTCAAATAGAGGAGACTAATACAGTGAGCCCCCATCATTGAGCTTCAACCATTTAAAACTTATGGTCAATCTTATCCAATTCAGAGCTACATGATTTTACCCATATTCTCATTAGTTTTATGTCTTTTATCTCCTTTCTCACTGAAAATGCTGGTCCTTAATGACACGATGTAATAACTTCTTTACCAATACTATCAAGAAGGTGCTTTTTCTTTATACATTATTGTTTCATTAAATGCTTTATATATTCATAGCACTTCACAGTTCAGAGTTTTCACACATACTCATATATGATCTTCACATCAACCCTTTGAGGTAGGTAGGTTTCCTAATTTTTTTGTTTCACAAAAAATGTGACTAGTCCAGTGTGATATAATTAGGTCCTCTGTTATCTGACATGTGTAGAAATCTTTACTCAACACGTTTTCTCTGTCTTGAGATCTTTAGTTTTGTCATAAAACCCTAGAATGCTGGAGCTGAGAGGAATTGAAGTTGATACCAGTGGGAAGTAGGTTTTATGTGGGCAGATAGAACAATAAAACATTTCTAGCTATTGGGCCTTGGTGTTAAGAAGTTTTAGTATGGCTGGGTGCCAGAAGCGCATGTCTGTAATCCTAGCTACTCAGGAGGCAAAGATCAGGAGGATCAAAGCCGGCCAGGGCAAATAGTTCACAAGACCCTATTTCAAAAAAACCCTTCACAAAAAAAAAAAAAAAATAGGGCTAGTTTAGTGGCTCAAGGTGAAGGCCCTGAGTTCAAGCCCCAGTACCACCGAAAAAAAAAGAAGCAGCTTTAGTATGTGTCTTCCTAATCCATTGGGAAAGTTGTGCCTTAGTTGATTAGCTTAACATGGGTGTGGGCAACCCATGCGTGTATGTACACATAGCATGTATGTGGCAGTTGGGCTAAGTAAACTTGCAGCTCTATAATACCTGATAGGGCTCTTTAAAAATTCTGTGTTTTCTCCTAACACAAGTTTGGCTAATTTCTCAGTAATATATAGGATCCTGTATTTTCAGTTAGAGATTGAGTTTGACTACATGCAATAGAGTGGCCTAAATAAATGTGAGTTTACTTTTCTCTCATAAGTGAAAAAGTCCAGGACTGGCAGGCATCCAAGATGACATTAGTGACTCAGGTTCCTCTATCCTTCTACTTAGCCATCCTTAGAGCATGCTTCTGATCAAAAGGTAACTCAAGGCTTAAATTGAGAGGAGCAAAATGTTATAAACTAACTAAGTAAGACTCCTTTAAAGAGCTTTCCTATACATCCCCACCCATGAGTTCTACTGTCTCAGTAGTACATGACCAACTCATCTGTAGCAAAGCCAGGAAATACAGGTTTTTAACTAAGACTGTTGGTACTCAACAACATTCTTTTTTTTGTTTGTTTACAATAAGGTCTCACTATGTAGCCCAGGCTGAACTGGAACTTGTTATATAATAACCTAGGCTGGCCTCAAACTCATGATCCTTAGCCTCCCAAATGCTCATGAAGCCTCATCCACACAAGTGCTGGGATTACAGGTATACTCCACTACATCCAGCTTACCATTGGGCTTTTGATAAGAAGAAAAAGAGAATGGATATTCAATAGACTAACAGTCTGTCCTCTCCGTCAGCGACCCTATGTTTCTCTTGTTTTCTAAAATTAATATCCCCCTTCTTCAATGATAGCACCTCCACAGTATCAGCTAATTAATATATTCAGCTGAAAGGCCAGGTCTTCTGAGTAATTTCAGATCTTCATCACGTCTGGATATGGCATATTATATCCTGGGGTCCCATAAACTAAAAGAAAAGTTAAATGCCCCTCCTCTATTATTTCATAGATTAAAAAAAGAGGATAATTACAGTAAATCCTCACTTAGAAAAGCAATGATGGAAATCTTGCTGGGCAGGAGTAGCAGAGTTTCTAACCTAGTGGTAAAGTTCCTTGGGTAGTTTATCTGACAGATTCTAGTTCTGCTTCCTGGGAGGATTTCTTTTGCCCATTGATCATGGGAGATTTAAAAAAATTATTATTGTTGTCTGTTATTTGTCATAACCATGTATGAGTTGTCTGTTGGGGAGCATGTCCAAGAAGGTGCTTTTTGAAAGAGTGTAACAACCTGAATATCCATCATTAGAGAACGATGGTACATTAATGTGTTATATCCACCTAGTATATCACTGAATAAGGTGATCCAGGGAATGAATTTCAAGATAAATAAGTAAAAATACTTAAGGTAAAGCTGGGTACTGGTGACTCACATCTGTACTAGCTCCTTAGGAGACTGAGATTGGGAGGATCAGGTGGCAGACCAGCCCAGGTGGAAAGTTCATGAGACCCCATCTCAACCAATATCTGGACACAGTGGCATGCACCTGTCATCCCAAGCTACTCAGGAAGCTGAGATGAAGACAATTGCAGTTCCTGGTCAGCCTGAGTAGAAAAGTTTGCAGGACACCATCACAACAGAAAAAAACTGGATGTGGTGGCACACACCTGCCATTCCAGTTACAGAAGGAAGCTTAATATAGGAAGATTGTAGTCCAGGCCAACCTGGGCATGAAGCTAAACTCTTATTGCCAGAATAATCAGAGCAAAAAGAACTGGAGGCAAGGCTCAAGTGGTAGAGCACCTGCCTATCAAGTGCAAGACCCAAGACCCTGAGTTCAAACTCCAGTACCACCAAAAAAAAAAAAAAAGTAAAACGTAAAAGGATTGTTTCCATTTGAGAGGAGGGGAGATGTGTATTATATATACAAGTACACACACACACACACACACACACACACACATATTTAAACAGGATGTGTGGAGATACGTTATTGTTACAGTAACTAAATATTGTCATGTATACACACACAGTATATAGACTGTCTTGCTCCCTGTGTATATATATATATATATATATATATACACACACGCAGTATTTGAATGTATAAGAAATTGTTAAGTGTTTCCCTCTGAGAAAGGAACCACAAAATCAGAAGTAGGAGGGAGGCTTACTTTTCATTTTATACCCATTTATTCTGGATGGATTTTTTTACCATGTGTATGTATTTTTTTTCTTAATTTATATGCTGGTTTTTTTTTTTTTGGCAGCACTGGGGTTTGAACTCAGGGCCTCATGCTTGCTAGGCAGGTGCTCTTACCACTTGAGCCACTCCACCAGCACTTTATATGCTTCTTGATAAATTTTTTTTGACTGGAAAGAGGAAAAGAGAAATGACAAGTAATTTTGTGATTCATAAAAAGTGTTTACCTTATAAGTGCCTTCAGAGTCCACAGAGGTGGGAAATGGACCTTTAGTAATTTCATTTTTGGATGGGTGGGCAGCTAAGCCCTTGGCTGTCCAAATACAAACTGTGAGGCTTATACTTCTAGTTCTTCTTTTAACTATTTAGCAGCAATGTAATACTCCCATTTCCTTTACAGTGGAAATTTTACTCAGCCGGCAAAAGAAAGCAGAACTTCTAAAGAAGATGACTGATGTGGCTGTCCGAATGTCAGAGGAGCAATTGGTTGAACTCAGAGCTGATATCAAGGTAAAACTCCTTTCTCCTTTCTGCCTTTCTTCTTTCCCACAGAGGCTAACGTAGCAAATCTCCATAATTCATGACCAATTCATGCTCTTCTCTTTCCAAACCTAGCCTTCTTCCAGGTTCCCTTTCTCTATAAATGATACTGTCATCTATCCAGTTGTACAAACAAGAAATCTTAGGAAATGTCTTCATTTCCTCATTAAATCTATCATCAGACCCTGACCATTTGACCTTCTACTAAATCTGAGATCTGTCCTTTTCATATCCATCACCACTATCAGGATTGGGTTACCATCATCCACTGCTGAACTTCTGTAAGAGACTCTTACCTGATTCTCTCCATCCACTTTGCCACTGCCCCACTTCTTGTCTATTCCTCACACTAGAGTAACCTACTTCAAACTTCCCTGCACTTTCAAAGTAAATACTATAATCCTTCACAGGGCCCTCATTTCACACCAGACCCCCTTTGTCCTCTGTACTCTAGCTGGTCCTTTCCACAGATACTTCCTGATCCTCTTGTTAGAGGGCCAGTGCACACAATTTCATATGTCCAAAGCACTCCTTCACTCCCTCTGAGCACCCTTGACCTACCCATCTTTTTTTTTTTTTTTGAAGGTACTGGGACTTGAACTCAGGGTCTCACACTTGCCAGGCAGGTGCTCTACCACTGAAGCCACTCCACCAGCCCTTGACCTACCCATCTTTTCCAGCTACCTTACTATCATACTTTTCTGTGCTGTACTTAGAACAGGTCTTCTGTAAACAATAGTTGGTCAATTCTGGTTTTGTGTTACTGTGATTGGAACTTAGGGCTTCACACTTGCTGGGAAGGCACTGTAGCACTTGAGCCATACCTCCAGTCCTGGTCAATTCTGGTTTTATAGAGAAAAATCAACAATTTGAGATGTTGCTTATATTGCAATCTATTTATATAAGATTACTGGGGTTCAACAGTCATACCTTTTTTTTGATTATTTTTTTGAGACAACTTTGCTGTATAGCCCAGGCTGCAATTCAGCTTCATCAGCCTCCCAACTGTTGGGATTACAAGTATGCAATACCACATCTAGTTCAATACCTTTTAAATTTTTACATAAACAACAGTGTTTCTAAGACTTAAGCATGTGAATCTGAGAGGTTGGGATATTTGTGGGTAGTTGCAGACAATGTGTTCTAAGTAATTGTTTATAAACAGTGAGCCGTGTGAACAAGGGGAGTTAGCTTTTTCTACCTCTGAGCCCCTAGCCTATACTCTTTCTGAACACATGCACTTATTGCCATATTTGGGAGGAACACTTGCTGCGGAGGCTTATAATAACAGCCTTTATAAAATATAAACATTAAGTGGAAGATTGTCTAGGACATATCAGGGATCCTTGTCATCATTCTGACCCAGTGTTCCACACAAATCTATAGAGTACTATTGTTTTCTCACTCCTTTCTCTTAGAGCATACTGGGGTGAAATAGTCAAACAATGCAAATTTTAAATTACTAGATCTCATTTAACTAAAACTATGTTACAAGATTTTATAGAATATCTTCCTTACATTGATGCAGTCAGTCTCATTCAGCTATCTGGGAGAAACCGGAAACCCCTTTGGAATTAGATGAGAATTCTGGCTCTCATAGGCTTCATCTGTTCCCCTTCCCACGTGGCTGAAAGGCTGCTAGAAATATTTCTGCAGGCTTACTAAGGATCTCTCCACGTTTTAAATGTACTGAATTGAGTGCTGTGCAATTTAAATGTCTTATTTCCAGATTATTTCTGTCATTCCTGTTATATCTTTGGCTCAACAAACCCTAGAATCTTTTTTTTCAGAGTTAATCTCAGACTGATATTACATGTCTGAAGGTTCTGTTATAAGAGGTTCATGTGCTTTCCTAAACTATACTGTAATCAGAAACTTTAGAACTTCAGGGCCCAAAGGTAATTTTTCTCTCTTCTTTCCCTATCAGTGTTTCTGGATGCATTTCAAAGATTGTGATGCATTTGATGTGGGAGGAGACCACCCGCAGTTAAGAGAACTGCTATTCCAAATTGTAGGCCCTTTTCTTTTTCGTCTCCTTTCCACCTGAAAAAAAAAAAATGTATTTCAGGTTACCTCAGACATTGTTTATTGAATATATCCCCAAAAACTTTATTCCTGGCATTTTTCTAGTCCCACAATTTCTATAGTGTAGTTAGTTTTTGACCCAAGGGGTTGATTACTTCTCAACTCAGTCTGCTGAAAAGGATTATATAACTTGTGGCATAAACTCTTCTTGTTCACAAAGTTGACTCTTCACATGAATGATTTTCCATCTCAAGAAACTGTTCCTATTTCAAAGACTATGAAATCCTACTTTCTAAAGAGATGAAATGGGTTTCCTAAGGAGGCTCATACTGAAGAACACTAAACCATCCATCTAAATGGGATCATTATCATGGCTTATGAACGTTTTTGCTGCCTCTGCTTCTGTGTAAAATGGAATCATGTGGAGACTAGCCAATAATGGAAAGATGGTCTCCACTATAAATTTGTTTTCTTTATTCCTTCCTTACAGTTTCTCTGGATTATACCTACTAGACTTTGACCGTCTTATAACATTTCACAAAACTCCCAAACTTACCTTTGGGCACTGAGAAAAAAAAGTCAATTTGTTTAATCTCCCAGCATTGGTAATATGTTGGCCATTTAGTAAACTTGGAAGTAGCAAAAAAGGAGAAAATTGAAAGTAATTTTTTTCACTTACATATAGTATGCTGTAGGTTTCATGTATAATGTTTATCTAATCTGTGCTTTTCTTACCCTTTCTCTAGCACTTTGTTAGTGAACGGAAATATGATGAGGATCTAGGACGGGTAGCCCGATTCACCTGTGATGTAGAGACTCTGAAGAAGAGCATTGATTCATTTGGACAAGGTGAGATGGTGAGAGATTCTGGGTGTTATAAGTGGTGAGGAGACCGTCTCCTACTAATAAGAGAATGATGTGCTGGCTAGCTTCTTCACTAAATCTTCCTTAGTGCCTCTTGTCTGCTTGGTTTTATGAAAAGTAACTCTGGGATACTTATCAAATCAAAAGATGAGTATTTACCAGCTCCCTAAGCATGAGATAGTCTGTTTTCATTTTTTTCTGCTGAGTGGTGAGGTATATGATACATAATGTAAAGAACATGGGGCTCTGGTGTCAGGCCAAACTTAAATCCTTGCCTCAACACTGATCTCTTGGAACCTACCTCTTTTCATTCCTCCTCAAATGGAGATAATAATACCTGCCTTGCCTGGCATATAATAAGTCCTCAAATAATGGCATTAAAGGTAGAAGAGGCCCCTGAGTAAGAGTTTGTAGTGACATACCTGTCAGACCCTGAATTCAGCTCCTCTGTTCTTTCTGAGTATAAAATGAGATGTTGGGCCTTAGGAACATGCTTAGTGATAGAGTGCTTGCCCAGCATGTGCGAGGATCTGAATTTGATTCTTAATACTACACACAAAAAAGTGAAATGTTGGCCATAAAGCAGTGATTATTAACTCATCATTGGCCCAGGCTTAAAGCCAAGAAAAAAATCTGGGGAGTGGTTTTAAACCATTAAAATCTGACAGCATTTGAATTGAAAATATTTTTCAGTTAGGTTGGTATTTTGAATTTGGAGTTATTTTTGCAGAAAGAAATTTGGCAAGATACATGTTTGTTGTAAAGACTAGTTCTATTCATATTTAACTGATCTTGATTATTTTTACCTTGCATCATTCAAATCTTTTTAAAAGAATGTAGCAAAGATTTTATTTGTTTACCTTTTTTCTTTCTTTGCAAAGTCTGTACTTTAGAATGTTCCTTGCATGGGAAACTAAACATATGGCCCATACTATTGTTCCCAGGCTTAGTCAGCTGCTGGAGCCATAGCCAGGAGTTAAGGTAGTAGGAAATGCCAAGAAGTCATTAGTTGATGGAGGAGGGGGTGGGGCGGATAACTTAATTTTAAACTATTCTATCTCTAAGAATTCTTTTGCATTTTTACCAAGCAATGGGGATTTGGAAACAGTAGAGAAGGAGGACAGAAGGGAGGTTTTCCTTCTGGTTATCCATTTTATAGGTTTTTCTTTATGATTATTCAGATAGTTCTTAAATTGCTCATTGTGAAATGGAGAAATAGGGGAAACATCCATTGTGCACTTCCATCATGACCACATAGTCCTTATATTTCTGTTTCAGTGTCCCATCCAAAGAACAGCTATTCAACCAGATCCCGGTGTAGCTCAATTATATCTGCATCTTTGAGTGGCCAAAGTGACTCCTCTGCTGCTCCCTCTTCCTCCTGTGCCTCTTCTCCCAGCCTTATAGGTGCTAATAAGAGAAACTCTGCTCCAGGAGAGACTCCTGCAACCACAACAAACTCTAACAGCCGGCCTTACCAGCTTCATCGGGAGGTAACCTGGCTTTCACATTGAGCATGTGAGGGAGGAAGGCAGCTAGTTTTTGGTGTTTAAGTGCTTGCTAGCTCAATATATTGCTTTCCTCTCTATTTGCATCACCTGTTTTGCATCCCTCCAGTCCCAGTTAGTTCCTGAGAAAGCATTTGACACAATATTCCAAACCACCAGTCAGTTTAGACTTCCTGCTGCCAAGAACTGCTGACTTTCTTATGTTGGCAGTGATCTTTGATGTTGTAAGTAGTATTTGCCTGGTAATTAGTCACACTGGGAGTGGTGCACCCATTGCGAGGTAGACAAGCACTGCGAGTGGCAGGTTTGACAGCATGTATTTGAAAGCAGCAACTCCCTAGAAGCACAATGTGAATATATTGGGAGGAGAAAGTGAACCTGGTCGGGGTGGAGAGCAAATCCATGGTGCAAGAGTAATCCATAGGTTCTTTTCCTTGGTTTGAAGGGGAAACACAGAGCAATCCAAGGTATATCTTCAGAACTGATTGAACATTGGCAGTAGAAGACAAAAAAAGAAAAGAAAAGAAAAAGAAATCTCATAAGCCATAAGCTTTCTGGATTGTAATGTGAAAGGTTTGCTAAATGTCACAGCAGCATGTTTTAACCTATACTTCATGATACATAGCAAAGCAGACCACAGTGGTGCTTATTTTATTTACCAAGTGTTTATTATCCTTACAACTGGCTTATGATTTGCAAAGATCAGACACGTGATAAGATACATACTTAGTTGAGAGCTTGTAACAACCCAAAGAATTTTTTTTCTTCTATTGTAACTTTCTTCCTTTGTGTATCTAAAGAGAAGTAAACTTCTCTTCAGTGGAGAAGAGCCTAGGAGTGAAAAGCAAGGAAAGATTAATAGAAGATGTATTAATTGTGATACAGTGGTTAGATGGGTTGGTTGACAGAATTCTGAGTTCCGAACATGAGATACCATGACTATGCTTTCAGAATATGCCTATAAACTAAACTGGAACAAATAGGAAACATAATGCCAGAGAACCTTGAACACTGTATTCTTTATCCTTAGATATTGCCGGGGAACAGACGAGGAGGACAAGGCTATCGGCCACAAGGCCAAAAGTCCAATAACCCCATGAACCAAGGACGACAAGACAGTGTGGGTCGTTGCAAAAATGGCTCATGGTATTCATCTGGTTCCCGGTATCAAAGTACTCCATCCCAGACACCAGGAAATAGTAGTGATTGGAGCCACGCTCCCTCTACAGGGACCAATGGAGCTGGAGCCAGCATGGAACCTAGCCTACCCAAGCCCTCACTCAAAAAGGGGCTTCCCCAGCGCAAACCCAGGACCTCTCAGCCTGAAGCTGTGAACTCTTGAGAGAAATTCCAGTTGACTTCTCTCTTCTATCCCACACAATTCAACCTGACAACTGGACTTTAGGAAACATATACTTAGAGTTAATAACAAAAAGAAGTTTATGCATATCACTTTTTTGTGCCATTCTAAATATTTTTGGTTTCTTCTCTCCTTATTTCCTCTTTATCATTTTTGGAAGGGAAACTGTTTTTTTTCCTTGACATTTGTCAATAATACGGACTGATTCTGATTGGTCGTTTTTACCAGAAATCGGGCAGCTATTGCCAGGCTTCCCAAGGGTTATCAGCATTCTTCCTAGTGCATCTGGTCTTCCAACTGCCCAAAGAGGCCTTACTCAGCAAGCCCCCACTGTCAAAGCTGTCTTAAAGGAAGTTGGTCAGAGCTAGTCTTGTTACCTTTTCAGTCTAAGCAGAAACTTGCCAGGTCCCCAAACTGTCAAATGACAGTTTGACCAGAAGCAGCAATGAGGGGATTTTATACTGTACTGGATTAGCCAGAAAAGGAGAATAAATGTTAATTGATAAAAAGGAGAAACCATTAGGAAAAATTTGAGAATCTGCCTCTATCTCAGAATATGCCTGAGATTTGACCTTTAAATCAGGGTTTCATTCCCCTGCTTGGCATCATAGCTTTCCCTGCAGCTTCTTCAAAATGCCCAAAGCCTTGTTTCTTGTTACCTTAGGCTATACTTTAGGGCTGCAAAGTAGTCTAAGGAAGTGTTTGGGAAAGTCACATTTAATTAAAGTTTTTAAAAAGTTAATAAAGTATTGCATTGTTTCAATGTTTGGAGATTTTTGTTGTTGTTCTCCTTTCTCCTGTTCTGATCTTGAACCAAATTTATAGCAATATAATTAATGTTAATCTGAGGTGTAACCCACCAAAAAATTGCTGCAGTAATTCTTTATAGATAATAAAGGCAACTGCGTAAATGTTCCCACATTTGTTTCACAGCACAAGTGACTTCATTATCTGTTTCTCTTTGGGCCTCATGGGGTCACTCAGACAGCTTGTTCTGTGCTTAAATGCGGGTGTCTGATTCCCAAGTCATTTGTCTGCTGCTGCTTTGCTTCAGGACCAAATTAAAATGTGAAAGCCACAATGAGCAAATGCAGCTGTTCCTTGTGGGAAACGATCCATAGGATAGGGAATGGTGATTTTCAAAGGAGGACTTACCAGTTTAGAAAAACCACAGCTGCCAGCCATTCTCCCAGGCAACCAAAGGTTATATTGGCACCCCTCTTCCCCATTCCCTGTCCCTTGACAGAAGTAGTGAATGTAACCATATAATTGAGCTCCTGCATGTAGCAGGTGGCACTAGTGCCAGACACCTCCTCCCCACCCCACTCCCAGCATGTATGGTTTAATAACAGCGGTACTTTTCCTTCCTCCAGCATGTGCTCTCTCTCCCAAGGCTTGACTGCAAGTGGCAGCGGTGCAGAACGCAGTTGCCTCAGGGCTTTCCCTGGCTCTTTGGCTGAAGCTGAACTGCCAGGGTTCAGGTTGGTTGAACAGACTGTGTGAGAGAAACAGTAGTACTAGGGAGGCCATTTTCCAAAGGGCTGAACACCTCATTTTGGGGAATTTGTCCAACAACACCATCAGCCTGCTAGGTGTCAGGAAAAAGCTTTCCTGATTAATTGCTTACCTCTACTTTATAGGAAATCCAGAGACTTAGGCAACCTTGAAGGATTTAAGAGGTATATCCCTGTATCAAGCCAAACTGTATTTAACCACCCAGACAGATGGAAAGCCACGTTTGCCAAAAATGCTTTGAAGCCAAGCACGGGTGGTTCATGCCTATAATCCTGGCTACCTGGAAGGCAGCTGTGTTCACTGCTATTCCACCAATGCATCCTGGCTTCTTGGGAGGTGGAGATCAGGAGGGTGGAGGTTTGAGGCCAACCCAGGCAAATAGTTTGTAAGACCTCATCTCAGCCAATAAAAAAATGTGGGCACAGTGGCAAATGCCTGTCCCTGTCATCAAGCAACTTGGGAAACATAAGTAGGAGGATTACAGTTCAGGTTGGTCTGGGCAGTAAATGCCAAGACCCTATTCAAAAAGTAAAATGGAGGGCTGGGAGCATGACTCAAGTGGTAGAGTGCCTGCCTAGCAAGCATGAAGGTCTGAGTTCAAACCCCAGTAATGCCAGAAAATATTCATCATAAAATCTCATCATAGGAAAATATACTTGGAGAGTTTTTACGACCATAATGACTTTTATCAATTATGAAGGTTCCCCCCGACACACTATTTTTTTTAAATTACAAAAGTAGTATTTAAAATAGCAAATAATAGGGGGAGGGGGAGATAAAGGAGAATGATACATTTTAAGAACTTTTGTAAATATCACAATGTACCCCCAGTGCAACAACAATAAAAAAAATTTTAAATACCAAATAATACAGAAATGCAAAGGAAAAATTTTTCCATCTTTCCATTCCACTTATCAGGGTAATAACTGTTAATAATTCAGCATGCATCCTTCTAGACCTTTTTCAAAGCATAAATGTTGTACATGTGACTATAGGTTTAAGTTTTTTCTTATAAAAAGAGATCATACTCGATGTATTCTTTCTTTTCTTTACAGTGTTGATTATACCCATGGTTTGGGGGATTTTGGTCTTTGGTATATTTTGAAACAAGGTCTCACTATGTAGCCCAGGCTGGCCTCAAACTCACTATCCTTCTGCCTCTACCTCCTGCGGGCTTGGATTACATTCACCACCATGCACAGTACTTTTTTGGTTTTGTTTTTGGGGTTTTTTGTTTTGTTTTGTTTTTGTTTCTGTTTTTGTTTTTTTTTAATAAAAGGGCTCCTTGTGTAGCCCAGGCTGACCTCAACTCATGATTCCTCCTGCCAGGGCCTTTTTTTTTTTTTTTTTTTTTTTTAATGCCTGGGAGTCAGGGTATAGAATGCTTGCCTAGCATGCATAAGGTTCCTGGGCTTTATCCCCAGCACCACAAAATAGTATGTCTAAAGCATAATTCATTAGGATCTCATGCTATAGATACTCTACATTTGCCAATTTCACTTTTCTTCAAGGAAGAGAAGTTAGGTTTATTTTAAATTTGATTTGTGTAGCTCTAGCCTTCCCCAACAAAAGGAAAGTTCCATACCTTGTATTCAAAGAAGCCCTACCTAACAATCATTTTTCTTTTCCTTTTCCATTTCCCCTTACAAATGTAATGTGTAAGCAAGGATGAGGCACTCAGTTTAATCCCTAGTACCATCACAGAAATAAAAGAAAGAAAATGTAGGCTGGGGAACACTGCATGGTAGAGCACCTGGTCTGCTATAATGTGCAAGGTCCTGGGTTCAATCCCTAGCACCAAAAAAGACATACAAAAAACACAAGGGTATAAAGTAAAAAGTCATCCACCTTACCCCTCTCCCCAGAAGAAATCACTAGCAAAGTTTCCTATAGTTCTAGAAAATTTTAAACTCAAACATGAAAATATTTTTTCTTTTACTTAAGTGGTTATATGTCCTTATATAACTTGCTTTTTTTCAGTTGTCCTTGCTTTTTTTTGTTGTTGTTTTTTGTTTTAGAAAAAGCATTAAGCCAGGTGTGGTGGTACACACCTGTAATCCCAGCACTTCAGAATGGGATGCAGGAGGATCGAGGCTAACCTGGGCTACATGGCGAGAATCTTATCTCACAAAAATACATGCAAAGCATTTTTGAAAAAGGAGAATCTAAACAGTTTAAGAAGATATATGGTTAAAGTCAGCTTCTATGGTACTCTAGTTTTGTCCCCTCTCGAGGCAACCATTGTTAAGTTGGAGATTTTCTGTGCTAGCGCAAGTATATCACAAGAACATATACTACTTAGACTTCCTATGTTGGTATTTAAAAACACATCTTCTTATAGCTACATTATATAAAGTCATAATCAGCTTAAACAGTCTTTAGTGATTTTTTTCAGTGTTTTGCTACTTATAAGGATTGCTGCAATGAACATTCTATAATATGTATACCATCCCTCACTATGATAGACTCTCAGTGATCAATTTACCCTAGGATAAATTCCTAGGAGTAGAATTGCTGGGTCATGTCATTATTGATTTGGGGGTTGGGGGGGTCAGTCTGGTGTTTGGACTCAGGGCCTTGTACTTGGCTCTACCACTTGAGCCACACTCCCAAACCCTTTTTTTTGGCTTTAGTTATTTTTCAGATAGAAAAATACATAGAAGATATGTTTTTAAATACTTAACACTTTTGCCTGTGCTGACCTCAGATGGTGATTCACCTACTTCTGCCTCCCATGTAGCTGGGATTACAGAAATGCACCACCACCACACCCAAGCCCTCCCCCCTTTTCTGAGACAAGGTCTTGCCCAGGTTTACCTTGAATTTATAATCTTCCTGCCTCAGCCTCCCAAGTGCTAGGATTATAGGTGTGCACTACCATGTTCATCCAATAAAGTACTCTTTATGGGGTTTTTGTTTAGTTTGGTGGTGCTGGGGTAAAGTACTTTTTATTGATAAAGTTGTACAGATTTACACTCACCACCAGTGTGTAAGAGTGCTTTGTGCAGTCGTTGAGCTGGAAATTAAGAGAGAAAGCTAACTAAAACATAGTCCCAGACTTAAAGTGCCTGAAAACTTGAAGATGCTCAGTGGGTACAGTGCTTGCCTAGCATGCATGATATCCTGGATTAAATGCTTCACACTGCAAAAGAAAATTGGGGTAATCGGGCTTTGGTGGCTCACTCCTGTAATCCTAGCTACTCAGGAGGCAGAGATCAAGAGGATCACAGTTCAAAGCCAATTGGGGCAAATAGTTCACGAGGTCCTATCTTGAAAAAACCCTTCACAAAAAAAGGACTGGTGGAGTGACTCAAGATATAGGCCCTGAGTTCAAGCCCCAGTACTGCCAAAAAAAAAGGGCCAACTGAGACACCCAGATGTGTACAAGAGAACAGTGTTACATAAATGCCATGTTGGTTACTTTGAGTAAAGTAGAGAAAGCATTGCCAGAAGTGTGGGGTCCTTGGCACAAGCTGGAACTATACCAGTGGGTGTCCTCAGGCCAGGGTATAGTCTTGTGGGTATAGAATATGTACAGGGGAAAAGGGTAGGATAAACTATTTGAGGTTAGGAGTGACCTGGAAAATCCCAGATGCATGGTCATCCATCTGTGAATTAAATAGGATACTCAAGCAATGATTTGTTGCCCCACCATCTGACCTAAGAAAATGAGGCTTTGTCTTGTCTGATTTACAGGGTTTGTCCCATCTGGTGAGGACTGTACCTGTCTGGCAACAGCTTCTTAGAAGAAACGTATCTAAAATAGTACCTGTTGGGAGGTCACTAACTTACATAAAGAACTATTTTAGCACCATTTTAACTAGTGAGTTCAGAGTATGCAACCATAATGTTGATAGCCAAAACATCGTACTATAAAATTAATATTCTGGTTGTTGTAGCCACTTGGGTACATTCTTTCCTTCGAACATTGGGGCACCTACTGTGTGCTAGGCACACTGCTGAGTTCTGAGGCCAAGATAAACCAATAGAGCCCTGCTCTATTGTGGTAAGAGTAGAAAGACCTTGAACTTGGATTTTATTCTGCTTCATGGCTTAGTAGCTCTGACCAGCTGACATGTATCATTTTTGAATCTGTTCCAGAACTGTACAGTGGAGACAATGCAGCTATATTAGGAGTATCAGACCAGGTACTGCAGAGGACCATGGGGTCTTCAGCTAGCCTGTGACAAACTGAATGTTCACTCACCTCTCCTTTGCTTCTCTGTCTTTCCTGCCCTATTGAAAAGCATATATAAAAGAAGGCTTCCCCTAACTTTAGCCCCTCAGACCTCAATCAGAAAGAAGAAACCAAAAACAGATTCCTCTGAAGTACACATCTCTAGCATGCTGGCCCCTTTTGTGTGCCTGACCTAGCAGGACAGTGCATCATCACCCAGCTTCAGAGCTGGGTGGGTGGGGCAGCCTGGGTACTGATGGAGATGACCTCAGTAAGTACTGTTACAGCCACAGCAGCCAGCAGGAGTGACACAGAGGTGAGTGCTCCTCAGGGGAAAACCAAGGAACAATATTTCCATACAGATAATGAGGGAATTCTGTGGCATGCCTTGATACTCATACCAAGGAGGAAAGCCATCCGAAGATGTTTCTGGGTAAGGAACTCACCCACCATCTCCAGCAAAACTGTTCTGCCCACCCGCCCCTTCACTGCCGTCAAAACAACAGGAACGAATACCACCCACTCCTGATTCCTCAAGGAAAAGTCAGGTCTCCTTTTATGTCTCTTCAACTTAACCCAGTTAGGCTTTCTTTATAACTTGATTTTAAAACCATTTTCTGGTATTGCCAGAATATGGTCGAGAAAATGGGGTTTCTTAGGAGGTCAAGGAACTCACCCCCTTGCTGGCTCCTGCCATCCCTGGGATGCTGCAGTCAAGGGCAGTATCCCCATGAAGTTCAGATTGTGGTTGTTCCAGGTCACTATCTGACCTGGACATGCTGCTTACCAAAGAACAGGACAGAGCACTGCCTCAGGATGGCATGGGAGCGAACTGACAGCAGCCTGTTCAAATCTTGGTTTGGATGTGATTCTTCAGTGTTAGCCCTGCACTGCCTGGCAGTTTCTTTATAAGTAAAACCATGACCTCCTAAGATTGAAAGTTTACTGTGCTCTACTCACACTCTAGTAGGGTCCTCCACTAAAAGAGAAGGAATAGCCTAGCACCAAGCAGCCAAAGGAATTCCAAAATGTTTTGTTTGGATGGGAATGAGGAACCTGCACCCTGAGCTCATTTCTCTAGTTCCAGCACCCGGGGAGACTTGTACAACAGTCTCTCAGGTTTATGTCACAAATGAAAGAACTGCTACGCCCACCATACAGGTCATGCTGGTCAGTGGCAGAGGTAGAATTTGAAACCCAGACTGTTTGACTCGAAAGCCCAAGATTTTCCCACCATACAACACAATCTTGGCCACACTGGCAGAGAGCCAGGCTCCAAACAGGCCTGGAGACCTCCTTAAAAGGAGGGTGAAGAGAGTAGGAAGAAGGGAGGAACCCTGGGCTCTGTTCCTCGACAGCCACCTGTTCCCACCCCCTGCACACAGTGTCTGACTCCACCTGCACTTTGTTGTTGGGAGGGGGGCTTTCTCCATCTTTTTTGTGTCTTGAGCAGTTTTTCCTTGCTCTGCTCTTCCCTGCTCTTTCCTTGTTCCTTTTTGTAGATAATACTCCCACGGGCCTCCCACAGTAGCTACAAAATGCAGCCTCCTGAGTTT